GAGTATCAGAGTGTTCCATCTCATTTCCCTTTGGGGTTGCTGTAGGTGATCTGGAAGTCTGGTTTTGAGACTTATTTACGTTTTTCCTCATTTCGACTGGGGGGGTGGGGTGGGCAGGTGCTTTTGGCACCTGTGTGGATCACCTCCTCTGAGCTAGGAGAGGTGGTACAGGGGCTGGGAGTGGCAGTAGGGATGGTGGCCCAGAAGTCCCTTCCTCTGGGCCGGGCACAGTGGGACAGAATGTGGCCCAAAAGCCCTTTCCTCTGGGCTGGGGGCAGCGGGAGGGATAGTGGCCAGGAAGCCCCTTCCTCTGGACCAGGAGCAGTAGGATGGCTGCTCAGAAGCCCCTACCTCTGGGCTGGGAGTGGCGGGAGAGGGATGGTGGTCTGGAAGCCCCTTCCTCTGGGCTGGGAGCAGCGGGAGGGATGGTCACCAGGAAGCCACTTCCTCTGGACCAGGAGCAGTGGGACGGTGGCTCAGAAGCCCCTACCTCTGGGCTAGGAGCGGCGGGACCCAGTACTGTGTTCTGGTGCTCCAGTGTCCTCTGTGTCTTTGTAGTGTGGAACCAGGTGGCTGTACAGAGGAGCTGGGGTGGGGGTGGGTGTCCGGTGGATTGCTGCTGGGGCTTGGGCCAATTTGGAGTCTGAAGTTTGTTTTTAATGTCTAAATGTGAGAGAATATCAGTGGTTTTATTTTTTTTACATGTATAGTGATTATATACTAAAACATAAAACAGGGCAACACAAAATTTTTAGTTTAAATTGGATTGACCTCCCCCACTTCAAATATAATAGCAATAGTTTATCTGTTCTAAATGGATTGGCCAGAAGAAAACATGGGAAGAGGAATCTGATTTAATAAACCTTCTAAAGAATTATTATTATTATTATTGGTACCAGGGATCAAACTCAGGACCTTGTGGTTATGAGGCAGCGGCAGCACCACTGAGCTAAATCAGTGCCATTGAGCTAAATCCCTGACCCTTATAAAGAATTTTAAAATAATTTTTTCAGTAATTTAGAGATGGAATGTGCTTTTTACCCAATTATTCTTTGAAAAGACAATAATGCTTTATATTAGTTTTTTAAAAGTTAGATTCAGGCAAAATATGTGCAAATAATAGTGTTAGCATATGAAGAATCTTTATGATGCACTATGTACAACTGTAATTATTTTACTTGTATTGACTCATGTAACCTTATGGTGTTCTATGGAGAAGGTTTATTGCTTGTCCCCATTTTACAGAGGAACCACAGAAAGGTTATATAGCTTGCTGGTACTAGTTATACAACTAGAAAATTCTGCCCCGTGTTGGTTAGCTTCAGAGACCACTTTTTTTTCTTTTCTTCTTTTATTGGTACCTTTTAGGTGTACAATATAATGACATTCATCATTGGGAATTTGCACCTTTACATACTCTCTTGGTTCTTATTTTTCCCCCTTCTCCTGCCCTCCCTTCAATCCCTCCATCCCTCCCTATTTACAAAGACTTTGTTTCCATTTTTTCATTTGTTTTTTGTTTTTTTTTTGGTACCGGGGATCGAACTCGGGTCCTTGCGCTTGCGTAGCAGGCATTGAAACCTCCATTTTTTCATTTTCTCATATTAATTCCATTCCCTTCTTTCCTTTCCCCTACCTCACCCACTTCCCCCTCCCCTTTGCCCCTTTTCTTCCTATTTCACTATAATTATCTATTATACTTTTTAGCCCTCATTTACACTTTCAGTTTCTCACACTAGAGAAACTATTCGGTATTTACACATGTGTCCTATTTATTTCACTTCAGAGTATTGCCTCAATGTGCATCCATTTAGCTATAAATGTCTCTAATTTCTCATTTTTGATGGCTGAGTAGTACTCCATTTTATAAAAAAAACACATTTTCTTTATCCAGTTTCCAGTTGATGGGTATTTGGGCTGTTTCCAAGTTTTAGCTATTACAAACTGTGCTGCTATGAACATGGGTGCACATATATCACTGTGGTATGATTCTTTTAATTCTTTGGGGAAGAACCCCAGCAGTGGAATAGCGGGGTCAAATGGGACTTCCAGTTCCAGTTCTTGGAGGTATCTCCATATTGATTTCCACAGTGGTTGCATCAGTCTACACTCCCACCAGCAGTGGAGCAGGGTTCCTCATTCCCCACAGCCCCACCAGCATTTGTTATTGGTTGATTTCATGATAGCAGCCATTCTTTCTGGAGTGAGGTGGAATCTCAGTTTTGTTTTCATTTGCATCTCTCAAATGACCAGTGATGTTGAACATTTCTTCATGAATTTATTTGCTATTTCTACTTCTTTGTCTGAGAAATGTCTGTTCATTTCAGATGCCCATTTTCAGATTGGGTCTTTAAATTTGAGAGATCTGATTTTTTAAAGTTCTTTATAGATTCGAGATAGTAGACCTTTGTCTGAGGGACTGCTGGTGAAAATTTTTTCCCACATTGTGGGTTGTCTCTTCACACTGCTGGTAGTTTCTCTTGCTGTGCAGAAGCTTTTTAATAAAACGAGATCCCACTTGTTGATTGTGCTAGTTCACAGGCAACTGGGGTTTTGTTCATAAAGTTTTTTTCTACCCCAATGTCTTCAAGAGTTCTACCTAACCTCTGTTCCAGCCAGTTCAGCATTTCTGTTTTTATATTTAGATCTTTAATCCATTTTGATTTTAGTTTAGTGCATGGTGAGAGATATAGGTCTAGTTTTAGTCTTTGGCAAGTTGAAACCCAATTTCTCCAGCACCATTTATTAAAGAGGCTATCTTTCTTCCAGCGAGGGTGTTTTGCTCCTTTGTCAAAGATGAGGTGGCTGAGTGTGTCTGGAGTTGTTTCTGCGTCTTCTAATCTGTTTCATTGGTCTTCAGGTCTGTTTCTTTACCAGTACCATGCTGTTTTTATCACAGTAGCTTTGTAGTATAGTTTCAAGTTGGAGGTTGTAATACCCCCTGCCATGCAGAGACCATTTTTAAAAACCATTTCATTATGTTACTTAACACTCAGGAAAGAATAATAATAAAGTGCAATTGACTAAATATAAAAACACAGTGATTGCACTGATCCAGATATTTGTTAATATTAAATTTAAGAATAAGTTTAAAAAGTTAATCTCAAAAATAAAAAATAAAAATTAACTCTTCTGTAGAAATCCATGAATGTACAGTTCTTTTTTTTTTATTCCCTTTTAGTTTTTCAGTCATGGAACAAAAACATTATATCAAAACATTGAAGCTCCACAGTCTAAATTCTTTCGTCCTCTTCTAAAAGCTATGCTACCACCTGATACTTTTAAAGGAAAAGTTGCATTTATTACTGGAGGAGGTACCGGGCTCGGCAAAGCAATGACAACTTTTCTGTCCACCCTGGGTGCTGAGTGTGTGATAGCCAGTCGGTAAGTTTCACTCAAGAGTCACGTGACAGAGGAAACCATCTGTACCTCAATATATTGAAAGCACTGTTTACCAGCGTTGTTTGATTTGCATCTTAATCTTACAGGAATTGTTCCAGAGATTACTTAAATAAATGTCTTTGGTAAAAGTCAGTTATAATTTGAGATGATAGAAATAATGAGTTATGAAACTGGTGACATATATGCTCCTTAAATTCAGTGAGTTTTTTGGGGGGAGTATTGGGGTTGAACCCAGGGACTTAACAGTGAGTGACATCCCCAGACCTTTTTGTAGTTTTATTTGTTCATTTTGAGACCGTTTCTCACTAAATTGTTAAGTTATCTGGGCTGAGCTTGAATTTGTGATCCTCCTGCATCAGCCTCCCAGAGGGATGGGATTACAGCCAAACACCAGCACACTCAGGTAGTAGCTTCTTTTCTGTATGTAAAGATGAGGTTAAAAAGTTAAAAAGATAAGATTAAAAAATACTACTTTGAGGCTATATTACTTTCAGTGGGAGTGGTTAGGCTTACTGCTTCAATTCATAACTGACCTTGTAGCAGGATAATGGATACTGCAGTTTTCTTTAAGATTGGTATTTCAGGGCCTGGGATGTAGCTCAGTGGCACTGTGCTGGCTTGAGTTTGATCCCTGGTACCAAAAACAAACAAACAAACAAAAAACCAAAAAAGTTTGGTATTTCAGAACAACTGTTGTGATAAACATAGGAAGGATAAAGCCATGTGAAAGGAATATCTTCTTTTTTGAGTATATCCTGGCACTATAAATAAGTCTGGAGCTATAAAGACTGATCAAAACTCCACCCTTTCCTCCACTTTCGAATGGTATATAATTTTAGTAGTCATCTCAGTGAAAGTTATTATATCATTCATAAATGCAAATTGGCCAGAATTTCTTTTTTTGTTGCAATGTATTTAAAAGTTTTAAAATATTTTATTTTAATACTATATAATTATTTAAATTTTAGAAAGTCTTTAAGTAGATGCACTTTCCTCTGTCGGTTTAATACTATATAATTTATCTTCATATATTTGTGTGTGTGTGTGTGTGTGTGTGTGTGTTTAAGGATGTAAGACAATGTGTACAGGTTATCTGAACCTATAACTTTGTACTAAAACCTACTAACATAGCATAAATGTATTTTTTTTTTTTGGTACCAGGGATCAAACTTGGGTCCTTGCACTTGTGCAGCAGGCAGTGAAACCACTGAGCTAAATCCCTAGCCTGCATAAATGTATTTTCTTTGTGAAGCTAGCTTGGATGAAAGCACAGATACAATGATTATAATTAAGAAAATTTAAATCTATGAGTAGATAATGCCAAAGTGATTGGTGTAAAAGTAACTGATTCAATGAATTAGTATCAGACAGGTAAAAATTGTTTGAATTTAACTTTCAGAAAATGAATTCATTCAAATTGATTTGTGTTTAGATATAACTCTCACACTTCAGCATAAATGCTTGTCTTTCAGGTGTAGATTCTCTGTGTCCTTTAATTTATGGAACTAGAAAGAAAAATATAATAAGAAGTCATTTCAGAATTCATACAAAATACCTGCCATGTGTTTATTTCTAGGAACATCGATGTTTTGAAAGCTACTGCAGCACAGATTTCTTCTCAAACTGGAAATAAGGTACATTAAACAGCAGTTATTTAAATTACGTGTAGGAATTGTAATTTGTATCAATATCTGGTTTTAAGAAGTCTAGAAAATGTAAGGTTTTTTTTTTCTATTCTTTTGCAGGTTCATGCAATTCAGTGTGATGTGAGGAACCCTGCTATGGTTCACAACACTGTGATGGAACTGATCAAAGTTGCAGGACATCCTGATGTAAGTGTAATGGTGATGAAACCAAAGCACACGGCTTTTAATGTTGATAACACTCACCAGGATGCACAAAGGAAATAAACTATTCATGTGCACAAGAGCTGTGTTGAGAAGGATTTATTTTGTTTCCTTAAGAAAATGTCAGCTTGGGTTGAAGCAGGGAAAAGATTAGAAGGACTACTTCCTTCCAGGAACAGTTTAAAGGTGCATTTATAATCACAGAACAAACTTAATTTCACTTTATTTAAATAAGATTGTGAAATAATGAGAACAGTTATCCAAGAATACAATATTTAGTTTAAATGACTCATAGTATTTGCTTTTCCTAATAGTTTTTGCTTTTCATTCTCAATGGAAGAAAGCAGTACAAATTAGGAAAACTACAAGAATTTCCAAATTTCTCCTTGTAAGACCTGAGATATAAATAAATATTTTGCTGTTATTTGGTTCATTTATTAGAGAGAATTGATTTGTTCCCAATAGTCTGACTTTTCATTGTTAAAGATATTTTCAGATAGACCAGTAATATTGAATCTGCTGTAGAATTAAGCAGAACATTTATTGATAATGAAGAAATAGGTCACCAACCAAGAATTTCATTAAATTAAATGACACTAGAAATTGAAAGGCATTTCTTGAGGTTCCTTGAAATAAAGTATAGTCACATGATAAATATGCTTAATCTGTATTTGTTTTCTTAATAATGGAGTGTACTCTAATTTAAAGATAGGATTAGGATTCTGGAATTGGGAAATAATGTGATTTTTATAGGCTCCAAAAACATAAAAGCAAGCCAGATCTCATGGTATTATATTGTATCTATGAACTTTAGCTGTATTATATCATTTCAATTAATAAATTTTGGAAATAAAGGCCTTGGAGGAAGAGTGTTCTTTTTCATCCAGAAGTTTCTATAATTTGTCTTATTCATTTATTAGATTGTGATAAACAATGCAGCAGGGAATTTTATTTCTCCCACTGAAAGACTCTCTTGTAATGCTTGGAAGACCATATCTGACATAGTTCTAAATGGTACAGCTTATGTGACACTGGAAATTGGAAAGCAACTAATTAAAGCACAGAAAGGTATGTTTATTTATTCATCCCATGTTGGGCCATATTCATTTATTCTTCTCATTTTCAGTATTAAGCTCCTACTGTGCACACGTTCTGTGCTAAATGTTGGAATACTTTAAGAACTAAACGAGAGAAGTCTACTCATTCAACTCACATTGTAATGAAAAAGATACATAAATTTCATACAGTATGATATAAGCCATACTAAATAAGTGTTTCAAGTGCATTGGAAATCTGGAGACAGGAATAACTAACTCTTCCCTAGGGTCAGTGATCAGATTGAGGAATGAAGTGGCATTTGAGTAGAATTTTCAAAAATCTAAATGTGAAGGAGAGGAAGGAAATGTGAAAGTCGCTGGATAGAGGCGTGTTGGAGGGAAGAAGCAGAAGTGTTTAGGGAATGATAAAGAATTAGATGTTCATAGGGAAGGGGAGAGAGAACCATATGAAATGATTATGGGAAGGTGGGTTGAAGTGTAACTGGGAAAGTTCCAATACCAAAATAAAGAGTGTATTGGTTGGGGTTATCTAGAGGAACAGAATCAAAAGGCAAAGAGATTTAGTAAAATTATGCAAGGGGATTTTTCAGATAGACTCACAAGATCCAAGGCAAGATAGTCCAATATGGCCACCTGTGTGCTGGGGAGCCAGAGGATCCAGTAGGTGCTCAGTTCCTCAGAACAAGAAGGATCAAAGATGCTGTGCCTGTTTGAGACTGAAGGCCTGGAGACTCTCCACAAACTGGAGTTTGATATCCACAGGCAGTGGCAGTTGCAAAAGATGCACCAACCTCAAGTACAATGAGCTTTTCGAAATGCAGGTGGACTTCCTCCTTCTTCCAGTTTCATTCCATCTGGGCTGCAAGCCTATTGGATGGTGCCACCTACAATGAGGTTGAGTCTTTTCCCTTCAGTTTGCTGGCTTACATGTCAGTCATTTCTGGAAAGACTGTACTAATCTGCTAGGTGAGTTTTAATCAAGTTGACAGTCACTGATTAAGGGTTACAGGGAATTTGATGTTAATTCTTTCCATTGAAGGTGTGTCATGAACAATGTGACTCAATTGGAAAGGTTGCTGGCAGCCATGTTGGGAGATGGGAAAGTTTGAAGAAATCCATTCAGGAGAGTTTTTGGCTTTGGGAGGATGTGGATATGTGGCATGGGAGATAAAGTAGGAGACGTTTAGAAGATCAGCAGGCCTAGAAATGAGAATTTTTAGCTTGGGTGAATAGTTTGGATGATGATGACATCAATGAGATTGAAAGGAAAGTAGATTAGGATGGAAAATTTTCAAACATTTTTGTTAGTACTTTGAATGGATTTCTTTATTGAAGTTTATATAAATAATAAATTGTATAATGTATGTATGTGTCTAGAACTGGCATACTTACTTGCTGACTTCTGTGTACCAGGAAAAGTGCTGCATTCCTGAAGCAGAGGTGGCGAAGACTCTGTCCCTGAATAAATTAGGGTTGGGACTTGAGGGATGAGGCTTTTTGTCAGAAAGCATTCTGAAAAGGGACAAGAAGGAAAAATCCTTTCTCTTTAGAAGATGGCCTTTGAGGCTTGAGGGGGTTAAGCAGGGCATGGAGGTGATTCAGAGGTTCAGTTTCTTCTATGCAACATGGATAATCCTCAAGCCAGCTTGAGAAAGGATGGAGACACAGATGGGAGGATGATAGAGAGGCATTGCTTTTTTAAATAAATCCTTTCTCCATGCAATTTTTGAAATAGAAATCTCTAGTCACTCATTTTCACTATAGCAAAATGTAAATGATTTAGATTTGGAGGTTAAGTGATATATATTTTTTTTATTTGGTTTTTTCCCCAGTAGGGAGAGACAAAATTGGGGAGGGAGATAAGAAAGGGTGAATTGACTTCTCTTTCCTTGATCTTTGTATCTCTTCTCTGTCTGCCTCTGTCTGATTTCTTCTTTCCCCAACTCTTGCTCATGTTCTGTTTCTTTATCTTTTTGCCCTTGTGAGCTTTTCATTTTTGGTTCTCTGTTTTTCTTTACCTCTGTCTCTTTCATTACTTTGTCTTTCCCTGCTTGATTATCTCTTTATCTCTTCCCTTGCCCATCTCTGTGACCCTGAGATTTGTCTGACTCTCTCCTCATTATTGTCTTTCATTTTAACATAGAGTTAGATCTATTTTTATTCATCACACTGAATTAAAATTCTATGGGTTTCATTAAAAATATATTAGGTAAGGCTTTTTAAAAAATGGAAGCCAGTTTTTATTCCTCCAAGATTCCTGTCAGTTATTGATGCTGTAATCTGACAGTTTGAAGAACTTGGCCTCCAAGGCTAAGGAGAGTACAGTGCAAAGGTCTTCTGGTAGTGGATCAATAGTAAAAGATCTCTAGGTCTGGGGATTTAGCTCAGTGGTTCCGCCGCCTGCCCTGCAAGTGCAAGTTCGATCCCTGGTACCAAAAAACCCCCAAACAAAAGAAAATAGTAAAAGATCTCCAGTTAATGATTCCTCAATTGTGTAATATGTGTGAGCCTGGAAGTCAGTTCAGGGAGCAATATACAGTAGTTATTAGAAGTACATTAGGTGGTCTAGCATCTAGGAATTCCATCAAGAGAAGATAATGGGGCAGTCAGGTGGGTGAAGGTGAGGATACCAGCAACTGTAAGATAGAAGCTCACTTGCTGGGGCAGGAATTGTTGGCAACATGCATTTAGGGGACAGCAGGTGACAGAGAATCAGAAGCACTGTGGCCCCTATTGGGGCAGAGAAGCTAGATTTAGAAAGATAAGCAGTCGTGATGCAAAATTTACAGTTATGAACAAATGAAAGATGTAGGAAACTTCTATAAATGTTTTGCAAATATTTTCTCCATCAGTGGCTTGTCTTTCATGTCCTCAATAGTGACTTCTAAAGAGGAAAGGTTTTTAATTGTGATGTCCAGTTTTTCTTGCATAGCTCAGGCCATTTTGAGATTCTGAGAAATCTTTGCCTAATGCAGAGTCATAAGTAACTAATGCATTTTGAAGTTTTAGTTTCTTTCAGTTTCTACTTGTAGCATTAGGTCCATGATCCAACTGAGATAATGTTTGTGAAAGGTATGAGGTAACAATTGAGGTTAATTTTTTGTTTGCATATAGCTATCCATCCTTTCCTCACTGAATTACCTTGGAACTTTTGTCAAAATTGTCTAACTATAGTTATTGTCTAACTATAGTTAACTATATCTATCTATCTATCTATATTTTATATACATGTCAATTTTTGAACTTATTTTGTTCTTCTGATCTATGTGTCTCTCATTATTAAGTATTTTTATTATATAAACATATACCATGTATTTTATATATTCCATATTGATTAGCTTCGATATTAACTTGAAATGAGGTAGACTGTGTCCTTCAACTTTCTTCTTTGTTAAAATTGTTTTGGTTCTTTTATGTCTTTTGTGTTTTCATGGAATTTTTAGAATTAAATTGACAATTTTTACAGAAAAGCCTCGAGATTTTGACTGGGATTGTGTTCAGTTTATATTGGAGAAAATTAACATTTGAACAATATAACATCTTCCAATCCATCATTATATCTCTCCATTTAGTTAGGTCCTCTTTAATTTCTATCAGGAGTATTTTACTGTGTTCAGGATATAGCTCTTGGATGTATTTTCTTGGCTTTAGTATTTTATATTTTTTGACCGTGATGCACATGGTATTTTCTAAATCTTATTTTCTGATTGCTTGCAGTATTTAGAAATACTATGGGCTAGTTTATGTACTGACCTTTTTCTCGAGAGCTTGCTAAATTTACTTAATAGCTCTTACATCCTTTGTGTTAGATTCCTTTGATTTTTTTTAACATTGATGATATTGATGAAAAATAGTATTTTTCTATCTTCTTTCCTAGTATGTGTGCCTTTCACTTCTTTTTTTCCTTTTAAGATAGGACCTCCAGTGCAATGCCGAATGAGAGTGGTGAAAACGCATCTCTGTTTTGTTCCTAATATCAAGAACAAATCAAATAGCATTTCTTCCTGACATTAGGAGGAAAGTACATTCAACATCAGTTATGATTTACTTGTAGGTTTTTGTAAACGTCCTTTACCAGTCTGAGAATTTTTCTTTCTCTATCTAGTTTACTGATATCTTAAAAAGAAAATAATGGATAGGTTTGAATTTGTCAAGTCCTCTATTTATCAAGATGGTCATATTTTTAACTTGTTAATATGAATTACATTTATATCGTTAAAAAATGATCCCAGAATTTTATTTCTGTCTTAAATTATGAGGGATTATTTATTTGCATACTGCTGGATTTATTTTGCAAAAGAATTTTTTTGGTACCAGGGATCGAACTTGGGACCTTGTGCTTGCAAGGCAGACGACAGAACTACTTAGGTAAATTCCTGGCCCCTTATTTTGCTAAAGATTTTTAAGCTCACTTTTTCAGCTTTCAGTCGTTACTTTTGAGTTTCTCAGAGCCATTCTGTATTTGCTTAGTCCAGGGGTCAGCCAAGGATTTGAGAGTTTATATACAGATGTTGTTTCCTCCTTTCCAGCTGCTCTGTCCTGTGGAAGCAGGTTATATGTTGGCAACCGTCCTGCCTTTGAAATTGATAGTATGTTCAACATAAATCCATCACATGCCCCTTGTGCCACTGTCAAAGACATTAGATCTAAGTGTTCAACATAGTGATACTCTTCATATTTAGACTTTTTTCAGAATTTCTGTGGTTGTTTTTTGGTGGTAGTGGAGATCGAACTGAGGATCTTGCACATGCTTTATCCCTGAGCTCCATCCCAGGGCCTTTATATTTTATTTTTGAGACAAGGTCTTGCTAATTTAACCAAGTTGGACTTCAACTTGTAATTTTCCTGCACCAGCCTCCTGAATAGCTGAGAGTTTGGGTGTGTGCTGCCATGCCTGGCTAGACTCTTGGATAAATATTTTGCAAATATTTTCTTTCTTTCTTATGTCTTATGGTTGGAAAAATATATCAGTTTAATCTTACTTGGAAGATAGTGGACTTTCTATTGGAGCATTTGCTGTGTATAAGTAATTGTCCCTTTTCGAGTAGTTTTCATACTTTTGCTGTCAGAATGATGCAGTTAGCACCTGATACTGTAATGGAGCCCACAGATGTTCTATGTCCCTCCTTTTTCAGAATAAGATTCTAGCAACAAAGTAGTTTTCAGAGATCTGAAAGTCTGAGTTCGATATATAAAAGGTGATACCAGAATGACTAAGGTATCCATTCTTATTTCTCATAGTCTCAAAATGGCATTCCTACCTCCTCCTCCTCCCCCATGTTCTCCAGGGTGTACTGAATTTTGTTTCTATTCTGAAAAATGCTGAGGGAAAGAGAAACTAAATATGTTAAGAGAAGAAAAACTTACCTGGATGTTCTTCAAATATGTTTCTTGTAGTCTTTAAATTTTTTAAACCATGTTTTGGAAAACATAAGTGTATCTTGATTCTTCTGCAAATATAAACTTATTTTCTTATCTGGTTTTATGTCTGAATAAGAAATAGAACATCACTGATTCCTCAGGAGCTAAAGATCACACTTCTAATCTCTGATTTATTCAGTTAATTTGAAAATCTTTACTATGCCCCATTCTACTTATATAGTTAGTGTCACTTTGTAGTATACCTTTATGCAGAGATTTTTTTAAAAAGAAATTTAAACACAAGAATATTTTTTCCATTTACACACATATTTACCATTTCTGATACTGGTCATTCCTTTTCATGATCTGAGTTTCTATCTAGTATCATTTTTATTTAGCCTAAATAATGTCCTTTAAAATTTCTTGTAGGACAGGTCTAGTGGCAGTGATTTCTCTCAGCATTTGAATATTAGAAAAATAGCAACCTCATTTTTTTTCTAAACTCTTGTTTTATTAGTATATGTTTGAGATACACAATAATTACTTTCATCTTGGAGAACTGGTGCCTATACATATCATGCCTTGATCATTTTTACTTCCTCTTCCATTCCCTGTCAACTTCATTTCTGAAGTATACTTTTGCTGGATAAATAATTTATAGTTGACAATTTTTAAAATTTCAGCATTTTAAAGATGTTATTCCATTGTCTTCTAGCTTACATTGTTTCTGGTGAGAAATCAGTGAACATTTTTATCAGTGTTTCTTCATTTATATTGTTTCCTCCTTCTACTCCTCATTAGTATTAAGATTTTTTTATCACTAGTTTGAAGTAATTGATTAAAATATGCCACAGTGCCCTCTCTCATTATCTTGCTTGGGATTTGTTTAGTTCTCTAGAATTATATATTGTTTTTACTAAATTTGGAGTTTTTTTCAATCTTTATCTCTCAGGTACTCTTTTTTCTTATAGAATTATATATGCACACACACATATATATATATGTTAAAGAGCTAAATATTATTCCATAGGTCCTTGAGGCTTTGGTCTTTTTATCCTTCCAACTTCTTTCCTTTCTGTCCTTCATTTTTAACATAGTTTATATTGCTGTCTTCAAATTCATAGATGTTTTCTTCTACAGTTAAGCTTATTCATTTATTTTTAAAAATTTCACATAATACATATTCCTGGTTTAACAATTCTGCTTATAATTTTATATTTTCTTATATTTACCTTTTCTTTGAACTCTTTTCACATATAATAACATTCTAAAGGCCTTTGTCTGCTAATTTTATCATCTCTGTCATTTCTGAGATGCTTTATATTAATTTTTCTCCTGGTTATATTTCTAAGTCTTTTTATGTGTAATGATTTTTAATTATATGCAGAAAGTGAATGTTGTTATTGTATGTGCATGGGTTTTTAATTTTTCTTTGAGATGTATTGAGTTTTATTTCTTAAATCATTTTAAGTCTCATTTTTAAGATTTACTTGAGCGAACATAGAGCCTAATATTGGGCTAATTTATCTCTTCTGCTAAGGCACATCTTTTCTGAGCTCTCTATAGAAAGCCCTGTATATTCAATGAAGTTTCTTAGAACTGTGTCCTCAGCTCTATGTGAAGCTTTGCAATTGTTTATCTTATAGCTCTGGAGAAGTCAAATTTCATCCTCATATGGATGGCTTGCCATTTGGCCAGACTCGAGACTCTGTGAAGATCCATGGAGCTTGTCCCAGCGTACTTTTCTCCTTAGGTGAACTCTTACTCAGAAAGCTCAGTTTCTTTAGCCTTCATAGACTCTACTGTCTCATCTCCTTAACTCAGTGCAATTCTCTGCTTGGATTCCTGTTAAGCTACAGTCTATGTAGTATGTTCAGACCAAAAAAAAAAAAAAAGTGATGCAAAGGCTCATTTCATTCATTTTCCTTCTCCAAAAGATCCCTGTCCTTTTCTGCTCACTGTACAGTATCTGAAAATAGTTGTATCATTTGTCTCGTGAAACAGATATAGCAGTAGGGCAAGTCTACTTGGTTGGTCTTTCATAATTTTATTTAATTCTGATGTATTCTTATTTAATTGGTACTTAGTTAATGGGAATTCTATCCAGCTGGCTATTACAAGAGTGTTACAAGTATATGCCTCTGAGATTTGTGGATTAGTATTGACTGATTGGGTGTAGAATATTCAAAGTAAGTGCAGACTGGGCTACCTAATGCCAGCCAGATTAGTAGCAAGGCAAAACAATATTCTTAGATTACTATCTCATTCATATATGGCTAGTAAAGTTTTTAGTTTTTAATGCTTCAGCTTTTGTTATACCCTTTTGAGTCAAATCTTATTTTTGTAAATCATATTTCCCTAATATACATTGATATAGCTGTACTGTTAATAACCCATGTCTTTTAAAATTTCAGGAGCAGCATTTCTTGCCATTACAACGATCTGTGCTGAGACAGGATCTGGTTTTGTTGTACCAAGTTCTTCTTCCAAAGCTGGTGTAGAAGCCATGAACAAGTGAGCCTTCTACATTAATAATGATGCTGAAGATAAATAAAGTACTTTGGTAACTCATGGAAGTAAATTCTTGCTTTCTGGTTTTCATCTAGAGAGAAGTAAAAAAAGACAAATTTGGATTCACCAAGAGACACTTTCTGTTTCCGATGAGTCCTATTTACCTAAAACAGCATTTTCCAGTAGAATTTTGTTTAGTGATGGAAATGTTCTATAGATCTGCAATATCCAATACCCACATGTAGTCATTGAATCATTGAAACACAGCCACTGTGACTGAAAAACTGAATTTGAAAATTTTAAAGAGTCACATGTGGCTAATGTCTTTAGATGTCACAGGACTTTTTGTCATTCTGTGTGTCCTTACTGGTGCTGTTCCTAACCTTGTAAACAATCGTCATCCTTTTATTGTACCTACTGTATAAGATTAATGGTACTAACACAGACCATGAGCACTTGCCAAGTCTAGTCCTTTGCTCAGCAGAGAATGATTGCTCTTTGAATTTTTTTTCATTGGCCTTTTCCATTGCCTTTGTTATAATGGAGCATTCTCATCATTGCTTATCTGGCTATTGTAATAGTCCTATAGTATATTTCTTTGTTATAAGTCTCTTTCCCTTTCATTTTTAAAATTAATATTTCCACCAAAATTATCTTTCTAAAAATACATATCTGCTTATGACATTGTGTAGCTAAAAACGTTAGCTCATGTTCTGTTACTGTTTGGAATAAAACCCAAACAGCATGGCATTCTAAATAGACTTGTCTAGGCCTTTGTTTATTTGTTTATCATCTACCAACTGTGAGCCTGCCAGTGTCGTAGGTACCAGGGATATGGTAGATATGGAAATAGAACAGTCTTTTTTCTCACCTGATCTCGTATCATTCCACCCATTATTCCTGTGCTTTATTTGCTTTAACTATTTCTTGTTCCCTTAAATGTGCCATATGTTTGTATCTAGGTTATGCTGTTATTAAAATTTGCTGTGATATGTTGCTTAATTTCAAGGCTTTTATCACACCAACTGTTCTGGGATATTTCCTCTCATTATCTTCAAGAATTAACCATTCATTATCATTCCTTAAAACTTTGTTTAATCCAGTTTTTTTATTCATTAAGTTTATTGGTACATTTTAGGTATACAATACAATGACATTCATCTTTGGGAATTTGTACCTTTACATGGTATATCTTTGTTCTTATTTTTTCCCCATTCCCCTGCATGTTTAATCCGATCTTATGAGACAACAAACACTGAAAAATGAATTCTGAGATGTAGGTAGTTTATCAGGGTGGCAGGGCACAGAAAGAAGGGTGTGTTAGATCTTTGGATGTGACAGGCTATAACTGACTTCCCCACTAGGGTGTGAGCTCAATGACACAAGGGCCCATATGTTTGAATCTTCATTACCTAGTAGGATCTGGTACATAGTTTGTGCTCAGTGCTTGTTGAACTACAGTTTTGCTCTTCTCTCCCTGGAGTACCAAAGAACTTTTAACATTTAGATCAATAGTACAAATTTGTTTGAGATAGAAAGTACTGTTTTTTTTTGTCGTAGTCCACTTTGTGCTGCTATAACAGAATGCCCAAGACTAGGCATTTTCTAAACAACAGAAATTTATTTATTCAATAGTCTAGATGCTAGAATGTTTAATAGCAAGGTGCCTGTATCTGGCAAGGACCTTTTTGCTGAATCATCAAGACAGCAAGAAGGGGCTGAATTCAGTTTATAATAAGCCCACTCTTACTATAACAAACACATTCTTGAGATGACATTTATCCATTCAGAGGGCAAAGTCCTCATGACTTAATCACCCCATTTTAGGTCCCACCTTCCAAACTTTGCATTGTGGATTAAGTGTCTAATAAAAGCCCTTTGAGGACATATTGAAACCTAGCAACTATTCAAACTTGAGTGTTAGTATGAATAATTACTTTAAAAAAATGTCAGAAACTATTAGTAATAAAGGATTAGCAGCAGCAGGTGTACAATATCAATATTTATTTTGTTGCAACCTTTGAATCTTATTAGAAGCTTCAGTATCATGTCCTTTAAGGACTGTGATTCTCTTCATGTTCCTGCCTAATGTATTGCACTTAACAGATGCACGTGGCTTCCTTTACAGCCCCAGCCCTTACTGACCCTCTTTTCATACATTATAGGACAGAGCCATATTGTACATGTCCTATAGATTCCCAAATTCTGCATGTTGTTTGTGCCTTTGTGTTTTACTCATACTGACCTCCTAGACCTGGGATGTCTTTTTCTATCCTTCTCCCTGTAAACACCCATCCTCTTTTTTTTTTTTTTTGGTTCCGGAGATCGAACTCAGGTCCTTGGGCTTGTGAGACAGCCACTGGAACCACTGAGCTAAATCCCCAGCCCAAACACCCATCCTCTTCTTACCCCTGCCTCCTGTAGCAAACACCTAACCTTTCTTTTTTTTTTTTTTTTTTTTTTTACTGGGGATCGAACTTGGGTCCTTGCGCTTACGCAGCAGGTGGTGAAACCACTGAGCTAAATCTCCGGCCACCTAACCTTTCTTAAAGTGTCAGCTCGAATACAACCTCTGTATGGAAACCTTCTCCTTCACTTTCAGGTTGCTTAGGTGGCTTTTCTTTCAATGAGCCATGGCACACTTTATGCACTTACTAAGTCACATTTTCTTTATACAGCCAAACTGACCTCTCTTAGGAGAGGGAGAGAAAGCTTCCCTGAGAACAGAGATTGATTTCCTTGCTAGACGCTAAAAAATACTTACAGAATGTTGGCTCATGGTAAGCACTTGTTGAACAACAATAATAATGCCTAACACATATCGGTACATTGTGGTTAGCATATTATCACATGGAGTGAACTATATGAGATGGATTCTTTATCCTATTACAACAGTTCTTTGGTATATAAACTAGCCTAATGAGAGCTGGTAGATCATGCCAACAGGAGAAAAAAGAAAAAACTACCTAGCACATCTCTGAGCAAAAGTAGGATGGTTTTTCTTCTGGACAGGTTTCTACCATAGGTTGCTCTGTTTTTCACAGGATGAAATAGACTCTGCTTGGTTGAGTAATTCTGTTAAGACATAAAGTTACTGCTTCTTTAGTAGTTTGGAGTAGATACCCTGTAGGAACATCCTGGGGTAAGTGGGATCATGAATAAAAGTTTCACTCTTAGCTCAACTTATGTATGACTTGCCTGAAAGAGAGGAAGCCTACCCATTTTTCTAAAATGCACCTGTGAGTTCAGTTAGATTAACATCTGTACTAGATCACATATCCCCTCTTCCACAGAACTAGTTTTACTGAATTGGCCTTTGAAATGATGCTGTCAGACTTTATGAATGGATATCTTATGGTTTCATAAAACTTACCCCCATTTTATCTATTAGAAAGATACAATGTCTTAAGGGCATTATTATATTACACAGTTATACAGTTTTCTTTTGTAAGTCTTCTAGGAAGAAATATTTTTCTGATTTGTTTTGTTTTAGAAACATTTGTGCTTTCCCTGAGCAATTTTAGCTTGCTTTTTCCTTTTGGGCACTGTGAACTGTGTAACTGATTAGGCTTACTTTTTAATTTTAATTTATTTCTTGATACATGTTTATGACACATGACTACTTTTATTGTAGGGAGTTGATACATGTACAAGACACAGCTTAATGCTTTTTTACATCCTGTTCCCTTCTACTCCTTACCCCCTCCTTCTGCTTCTTGGTCCCTTCTCATTTGCAGTAGATCTATCTCCCTGTTTCCTTTTATCTATTTTTTATTTAGCTCTTCGTTTATGCTTTTTATACTTTTTCCTATACTTTCATAGGATTTCTCCTATGAGTGCTAGGCTTACCATGTTTATATAAGATCATGAAAATTTGCAACCTGCCTTTTGCAATTATATGAAACATCATAATACACTTAGATATGAATTTCTTTCTCAGCCCTTTTATATTTCCCTCTCCTTTTTGCTCTTGCCTCCTTTGCTTCTTCCTTTCCTTTCTTCCTCATTGCATTTTTTGTGCTCTTTTTTTTAAAAGCTACCTTGAATCATTGTTTGAACCTAGATATATATGTATATATATCTATATACCAGTATAAATTCATAAAATAAGTCTAGATTGAAAAAAATTTAGACCCGTGCATCAAATATGTTGTAAAAACAGATTGCATCAAGATAACATGTTTGCTATTAGTGTTTTATTTTGCTACAAGACATTTAATAAGATTTTATTAGATTCCTATTTCCTTTGAAGCCCAGTTCAGTAATTACATTAAAGCCTAGTTAAACATGGATGTGGTTAATATTTTAAGTCTAAGTAATCCATCTCTTATTCAGTTAAAGTACTTGTGATGTTGCAGACATTGTAATCTAATGCATAGGGCTATAAGTCAAATCTTATAAATGTGAACTCGAATTCCACAAAATGTGAAGGAAAGACATGAAGTTCTCTTTATTTTTCTGTGAGTAATGAATACGCACTTAAAAAAATCTATATTGATATTGGATTTCTTGTGATAAAATGTAAATGATAGACAGTGTAGCTAGTAGCTAAGGACAATAAAACATAAGTGGTAGGGGGTAGAGCAGAGTGATTGAAGACACAAACTCTGGGGCTAGATAGGAAGTTTACAGGTTAGCTATAAGATACGGAGAAAATGAATTAACCTTGCTGCATTTCAGTTACCTTATCTGTAATTTAAGGAAAAATTATAGTGTATAACTTTTGACTATAAACTCTGGCATGAAGTGAGTCTTGGTTATTTGTGTTTTTAACATACAGCATAATATTTGAGAACTTTTTTTGTCTACTTTAATTTTTAGGTCTCTTGCAGCAGAATGGGGTAAATATGGAATGAGATTCAATGTAATTCAACCCGGGCCTATAAAAACCAAAGTAAGTTTTAGTTGGCTTATTATAACATTTGATTAAATGTCATGATTAAACGTAAAGATTAAACGTAATGATTAAAGAATGAAATGGTGACAGATGCGCTCTGATTGTGTCTGATGGACTTTCCAGGGAACTCTGGCTTTGAAGTTCCCTTTTAGGGAAGAGACTTTTCCCATTGTCCAGTATAAGAAATAATGGCCTAGCCAGGGTGGTAGCAGCTGTGTAACTTCGTGATAAGGCCTATTTCAATGGCTTAATCTCTTAGGATCTTTCATGTCATCAATTTTGGCAATTTTTCCAATTTGCTTCTGTTACTGTAAATCTGTTATTGTCCCATGTTTCTTAATTTTCACCATATTTTGAGATTCTTAATACTTTGACTGACGTCCCTTTTTCTCAAATTATGGAAATATAACTATATTTTTAGTTTAAGAGTTGCTCTAGAAATTTGTCATGAGGTGTGGCCTTGCTTTTGGTAGCATTTTCTTTGACTCATGCCTGTGCTTTTTCACATTCAATTATGCATGTCATCTAACTCCTACACCTGTCTGATTAAACATCCTTCTGAAAGCATGCATTTCACCTATCATTAATAATCCCTGTACATACTCACTGCAACTCATAATTATCACTAATGTTGCTACAGATGTTGCACAAAGTGTCCACAGGTTCTCTCTTCTCTCCCATGAACCCCAAATAACTCCACTCTTACACTTGTTTTGTTTTCAAGTTAAGCAAGAATTTATAATTCCAAACTGAGAGGTAGCTTTGAAAATACAATCAAAATGCATAAACGTATTGGAGAATAACATTAGAGAATATTTTGGTGGTGGGTAGCACTGGGGGTATTAAATATCAACGTGGAAATTACTATATTTGTTTTATTTAGCAGTTTAATGGGTGGAAAATGGAAAGAAAAATCACCTGAGTGAAACTTGATTAAAGATCATATTTTTCCAACATTTGAATAATAAAAAGTCTGAACACATTAGTGGAAGAATACTTCCAAAGCATATATTAAAGTGCATGACTCCAGGTGGTCCAGTGTTAAGCATAATCAGGAAAGAACTCTGTATTCCCAGAAGCATCTTTCTTGGACGTCAATATCTAAGAACCATCATGCACATTTTATGTATTTATTGAGTACCCACAGTGTGCAACAGTACTGAGAAAGATACAGGAATATTTGTGACAAAGTGCTTGCCATCAAGGAACTTGTATTCTAGCAACAGAGATAAGAGTTGTACACAAATAATAGATATGTAGTCTTGAAGAGATTAAAAGAAAGCTGGAGTATAGAAACCCTGAAGTGAACAAGGTACAAGCAGGATTGAAACCAAAGCTACCATTTGTCCTGGCTGCTTTATACCTGGCCAGGACAATTGGAGGGCTCTCCAGGAGCCTTGAGTGCTTGCTGTGTCTTACACTTGTATCACTGAAGAAAAATATCACGTAGTCTTCAAGGCTCTAGTACAGAAGGTTTCATTCATTTTTCTTAATCAGCTCACATCTATACATTTTCCCGGTCTGCTCTTGCATATCATCAGCATAAGCAAAAATTGTTTATCTCATTTAATTATTATTTTTGTCTCCCTAATATCTACTTGAATTTAATCTTGCTTTCTTATCATTTTGACTGCTTCATTACTTCTTATTTTCTTCATCTATAAAATACAGGAGTATAGTATCTACACTCTGTTTGCTTCAAGGTGTTGTTAGGAGGATTAAGTGAGAAGAAACAAGAGAAAACACTGTCATATATAAAGCACACAAATCAAAGATGGGCTTTCCTGCCCAAACAGAAGAAAGGGACTTCCTCCTAAATATTTCCTAGCTGAGTTACTTTCCTGTGTTTAATAAATGAAATAACAGTAGTACCACCATCTCCACCTCTCTAAGCTTGTCTGTATTTCAGAAGATTTTTGTATACATTTGCTCACGTGATGCTTACAACGGTGTGAGTTAGCTAAGGTAGATGTTCTCATTTTCTAAAGAAGAAATGAAACTAAAACATTATATTCTCTATGAATGTTTTTGAAGGTCAAATTTAGGTAAAAATGACCTGTTTGAGCCTAAAGTGAATGTGACAGAATTTCATAAAATTCTATTACTTACAGGGCTAAAGTATAAACAGGGTAGTATATAGTAGCATTCTATTTTATGTAACTTGTTTCTGAAGTAGGAAAAGAATTGTATTTAAACACACACACACATACAGCCTAATTGTTTTCTTAATTTCTAAGGGTGCCTTCAGCCGTGTGGACCCAACTGGAACATTTGAGAAAGATGTGATTGACAGACTTCCCTGTGGTAGGCTGGGGACTCCAGAAGAGCTTGCGAATCTTGCTGTTTTCCTTTGTAGTGATTATGCTTCCTGGATTAGTGGTGCAGTAAGCATTGTTTTGTCTCTTGACTTTTTGGAAGGTTGGGTGGGCAGACCTATCTTGGAACCAATCCCAGCAAGGGTAAATGTTAAATATAATTTAGAGTATTTACTTAGCTGCAAACAATACAGAAATATTTTATATATTTTCCACCTATACAGTTTATTGCTTGACAAATGAATTTTATTAAATGTACAATGGCTCAGTAGACATGGCTTTAAGAGGATCTTTAAGACTGAATAGAATTTCAAAATTGTGGAGATGTTAGAAAAAGGATTCTAAGACCGGGGAATTAGCTCAGTGGTTTCGCCGCCTGTTGCACAAGTGCAAGGACCCGAGTTTGATCCCCGGTACCAAAAAAAAAGAAAGAAAAAGGATTCTAAATAGGCTAAATCAGTGTAGGTTTAATCATAAGTATTATTCTTTAACACTTGGGCTTTGATTGAAAGTGCCAAGGAGACATTTCGTCCAATTAGAATGTGAAAATGGATAATAGTTCAGAAATTTTTAAGTGAAGTTAGTTTCAGAGTTTTTAATATTTTGTTTCAGGTCATTAGATTTGATGGTGGAGAGGAAGCATTTATTTCAGGTGAATTCAACAGCCTAAATAAGGTAATGCCTTCTTGTGTATGTGATGCTGAGATTTAAAAGTGAGGATGCTAGGATGCTGAGCTTTAAAACCGTATGAGAACCTCATTAAATGGACATTTTCTTCTCCTCTCAGGTCACCAAGGAAGAATGGGACATAATAGAAGGACTCATCCGAAAGACAAAAGGCTCCTAGGTTACTCTGGCCCTCATCCAAGACGTAGTCCAAATTAGGGCCCGGAAATGATACAAACTGACTGTCATCTTTTGAGTATTTTCAATTCTAATAGTGTTTTAATTACCAAACATTTGCTGACTGCTTACTCTGTGCCAGGCTAGTGGTAGCCTTTTGTGTATTTAAATATACACAAAGGAGGATCACCTCTTAAGTTTTTTTTAAATGCACGAGATTGGGTAGAATCTTTTTTTTTTTTTTTGGTACGAGGGATAGAACTCAGTACCTTGCGCTTGTGAGGCAGGCAGAGGCACCACTGAGCTAAATCCCCGGCCCCAGGGTAGACTCTTTGATAGAGGTAAAAAGTGCTTTGAAGTGTAGAGCAAGGAACAGGTTATTTGTAATTTGGAAAATCAAGAAACACCTAAGGGGGAAGTAGCATTTCAGTCATGTATTTTAAGTTGTGAAAAGAATGAAATTAAAAGGTCTACCATAGATTTAATGGACTCTTCCTTTCCAGTATATTTCTTTTCATTTATACTTATGAATTATCCTCTCTAGATAGCATTATAGTAACTCAAACCTTACATTCTTATGAGAACCTATTTTGTACCCAGTGCCTAATAACCTATAGCTCTTTTCTGCTGAAACGTCAATATCTAATCAGGTAGATAGGCCTGTAAATAATTACATGTGATACATTGTGATAAACATTATTCTAGCAGTATTAAGTATGGAGGATGAAGTAGTAGTTCATTTTGTCTCTGAGTTTAGAGAAAATTGCACCTATGACATAGCATTCCATCTCAGCTTTAAAAGAATAGATTTCCCTGGATGGAGAAGATGAACAAAGCTCATGGAATATTTTTTGTGTGACTTAATTAAATTTCGTATTTGTATTGGCTAATTTGTAATCCTGTGAATCAGACAATAAAAAACTAAAGTCTTAAGCCTAAAAACTTATAATTTTGAGCCTATTATTTTTAAAGTCCATTTTGAATTAATAGGAATCACTCATACTGTACTTGCTAGACTGATTGTCTCCACTGCACAGTTTGCCAAGAGGGGACCTGCTTCCCTTTTTCCTCATTTGAAAAGATCTACAGAGGAATTCACCTTTCCTATTTGAATGAAATGCTCTATGCCCCTCATGGGAACTCTTTATACATTAACAGTTAATTTTGTACCTAAAACATTTCTATTATGGATAATGAACAAACAGGACAATGTTTTAGGTTTAGAATAAGGAACCTTGTTTTGTACACTTTTTTTGTAGTCTTTTAGTGCAGATACTCAATCTCCATTTACCTCTAACATTAATCTTTATTTTCCTTTCACTCATTCACATCTTTCTTCTTTTTTAATTGTAAGTATTTCTTGTAGTGTTAAAAAATAAAAAGCACCAATAGTTATATGACCTTGTAGTCTTCATTATTTTTTTATTTGTAAAATACAAGAGTATACTATTCATACACTATCTGCTTCAAAATGTTGCTACGAAGATTAAAGCACACAAATAAAAGATGGATTTTCTTGCTTTTTGTATCCTTTTATTTTTAACATGACTATCATAGAGAAAGTAAGAATACAAAGAAAAACTAACCCCTAGAAGAAAATGTTTGTTAATACAGTTAACACTTTGGAATATTTATTTTCTACCTTTGCTTTTTATTTATGGAAGTAGGTTGTGTGTATATATTTTACAGTGTCTATTGCAATCCCCCTTCACAACTAATATTCTGTAGCAATTGTTTTGAACTCTTTGTGGAATATACTTCTGTTTTTTGGGTTTTTTTTGGTACTGGGGATTGAACTTGGGACCTTGCTCTTGCCAGGCTGGCGCCAGAACCACTGAACTAAGTCCCAGGCCCCACTTCTGTTTTTTTAAAGCAATATACTTATTTTTCTATTTCTTGAAATTTTCCAATTTAGAAAGTTTGTTGACTTTCTTCCATGAATAATGTTTTAGCACTCTTACCCCATTTCCATACTCACTTTCCAGTTCCTGCCTTTCCTGCCTACTTGTACATAGATGCGGATACATGCTTCCCCTCCACTGATTCTACAAATATATCTATATCCTATTTTTGATTAAATATTGTATTTACATTTTTATAGTTTTAAAAATATTTTCCTCGATATTTTCTCAAACACCTTTTCTTTTAAAAGTTCAGATTATATATAATGAATCAGATCCTTTTTTGTAAATATGATACTTAGTGGTCTATGATTGATATGTAGCATAATTTATTTAATTCTTTACTCTTCTATTTAGTTTTTAAAAAAGTAAAATAACTTTTTTTCAAGGATGCTTGCTGTTACCTCTTTTGCCAATACATTTTAAAAGTTGTTAATATTATTTTTGATTGACAAGTCATAATTGGGTACAATTATAGGGGTACAACTGATTATCTGATAGCTGTACCATGTGGAATGATTAAATCAAGCTACTTAACATATCCGTCTCCGAACTGACTTACATTGTTTTTATTTGTGAAATATCTGGAATTTACTCAGTTATTTTGAAATATACAATACTTCATTATTATTTTTTATTTATTTATTGGTACCGGGGATCAAACTCAGGACCTTGTGCTTGCAAGGTAGGTGTGGCACCACTGAGCTTGAATCCCCCACCCCTACAATACTTCATTATAGACTGTAGTCACCCTGCTGTGGAGTGGATCTGAAAGACTTTGGTCCTGTCTGAAACTCCTTCGATCAACTCCCCATCTTCTGCCCC